CCACCCCAGCTCCCCTCACCCCACCCCAGCTCCCCCACCCACCCCAGCTCCCCCACACCCCACCCCAGCTCCCCCACCCCACCCCAGCTCCCCCTCACCCCACCCCAGCTCCCCCCCACCCCAGCTCCCCCACACCCCACCCCAGCTCCCCCACACCCCACCCCAGCTCCCCCACACCCCACCCCAGCTCCCCACACCCCACCCCAGCTCCCCCACACCCCACCCCAGCTCCCCACACCCCAGCTCCCCACATCCACCCCCACCTCCCCACACCCCAGCTCCCCCACACCCCAGCTCCCCCACACCCCACCCCAGCTCCCCCTCACCCCACCCCAGCTCCCCCTCACCCCAGCTCCCCTCACCCCACCCCAGCTCCCCAACACCCCAGCTCCCCACATCCCACCCCAGCTCTTAGGGTTATGGGAATAGCTATGAAGTGTAGTGACTGTATGTTTTGTAAGTGAATAAAAAATGAAAGAGCACCAGATGTCACGTTTCACCAGCTCACTTACGATGGTGCAATGTCCACATGATTAATGCTGAACCCGGATGTGCTTAAACCTCCCAGTGTAGTAGATATGGTCACGAACACAACAGCTAATAAGCCGTTACATCCAATATATCCCGTGGCAACCAGAAATACCGCAGGTCCAATCATACCTGGGGAGACATAAAGAGATACAAGCTGTACAATCATAGAATTATACAGCACAGAAGGAGGCCATTCGGCTCACCTTGCCCGTGGCGGTAGTTCTCAGACCATTTCCAGAGGTTATTATTACTTTATGGTAATGGAGACAGAAGTGGCAGAAAACCACATAGTGTCCTACAGGGAAATTGTAGAATCCAATCTCACTCTGCTTTAAACAAAAAGTAAAATACTGCAGCTGCTGGAAATCTGAAATAAAAACAGAAGTCACTGGGAACACTCAGCAGGTCAGGCAGCGTCCATGGAGGAAAGTGAGTGGAACTCTCTGTTTCCTCTCCTGCTCACAAACCTGTGTGGATAAGCAACCACTGTCTGTACCTGAGCGGCCAACCTGCCGACTGTCAGATCCCTCATAATAGTACTTGCATTTGACGCTGTATCACGTCTTCTAGACGTCTCCTTAATATAGAAGAATTAGAGGTGATCTTATAGAAACCTATGAGATTCATAAGGGTCTTGAGAGGGTAGATGCCGTGAGACTGTTGCCCCTGGTTGGAGAATCTATAACTAGGGGTCACAGTCTCAGGATTGAAGGTCAGCCCTTTAGAACTGAGTTTAGGAAACATTTCTTCACTCAGAGGGCAGTGCATTTATGGAATTCTCTACCGCAGAGGCTGTGGGTTCTCAGTCCTTGAACATTTTCAAGACTGAGATCGATGCATTTTTAAAAACTTAAGGGATTAAGGGATATGAGGATATGGCGGGTAAATGGAATTAGGTTAGAAGATCAGCCGTGATCTTATTAAAAGGCGGGGCAGGCTCGAGGGGCTGAAAGGCCTACTCCTGCTCCTATTTCTTATGTTCTTATGTTCAAAGCGCTTCACAGAATATACTTCAAAGTGAATTGACTGTATATTCTGTGGGCAAAACGCGGCAGCCAAATGCGGACAACAGTGTCCCCCAAACTGCCATGAAGTGAATCTTAACATCATAGAATTATGCAGCACAGAAGGAGGCCATTCGGCCCATCATGACTGTGTCAGCTCTTTGAAAGAGATGTCCAAATTAATCCCACTCCCCTGCGCGCTGCCCATAGCCCTGCAAATTTGTCCTTTCCAAATATCTATCCACTTCTCTCTTGAAAGTTATTATTGAATCTGTTTCCACTACCCTTTCAGTAAGTGCATTCCAAACAACTTGCTGTGTGAAAACAAATTCTCCTCATCTCCCCTTTGGTTCTTTTGACAACTATCTTAAATCTGTGTCCTCAGGTTACCACCAGTGGAAACAGTTTCTCCTTGTTCACTCTATCAAATCCCCTCATAATTTTGAACACCTCTATTAAATATTCCCTTAACCTTCTCTGCTCCAAGGGGAACAATCCCAGCTTCTCTAGTCTAGCCTGGCTCAGTCGGTAGCACTCTTGGCTTTGAGTGAATGGATTGTGGATTCAAGGCCTACATCGGGCCTTGGAACTCATCTAATCTAAGCTGCTACTCCAAGTATTATTATTATTATTATTATGTGTTATGTATCACATGACCAATTTTAATTGGGTGATTGTTGGCGAGGACACCGGGAGAGAACTCCTTTCTCTATTTGAACAGCGCCACAGGATCTTTAATGTCCACCTGAGGCACAGAGCTTGGTTTAACATTGATCTGAAGGATGGACTGTCCAACAATGCAGCCCTGTCCAGCCCAGCGCTGTGCTGGAGCAGCACCTGGATTAAATGAACTCCAAGTCCCAATATGGAACTTGAATCCACAACCCATTGCCTCAAAGGCAAGAGCACTACCAACTGAGTTAGACTGACCTCTTAAGGAGTGGGGGGTTTAGGTGAACCCCACACCCATTGTTAAAGATAGATCAAAAAGTGACAATTACAAAGAGTATTTCACATTGTGCGAACTTCTCAAAGAGCTTCAGCCTCCCAGCCAGGCCATCGAGCTAGGGAGCGGAGGGTCCAAGTGGGACGTCATGAAAATCTGTGCAATTATAATAATAATACTTGCATTTGATCTAGGGCTTTTCACGTCTTCTCAACGTCTCAAAGCGCTTCACAGAATATGCTATAAAGTGAATTGACCGTATATTTGTGGGTGAAACGCGGCAGCCAATTGCGCACAGCAATGTCCCACAAACAGTCGTGGATTGAAAATGACCAATTTAATATTGTTTTGTTTTGGGATCATTATTAGGCTGTGTGTGGAGTAAGGAAACTTTCCCGAGGTTCCGTCCTGACCTGCCGGGAAATGAACCCAGGTGTCTCGCTTGCAAGGCGAGTGCTCTAACCACTGAGCTACAGGACTCCGCATTACTTCTAGAGACTATAATTCGGGATAAAATAAATTTAGAATTAGAAAAATATGGTTTAATAAAGGACAGCCAACACAGGTTTGTTAAAGGCAAATCGTGTCTAACAAACCTGATGATTTTTTGATGAAGTAACGGAGAGGGTGGATGAAGGGAGTGCAGTTGATGTCGTTTATATGGATTTTCAAAAGGCATTTGATAAAGTGACACATCAGAGACTTGTTAGCAAAACAGAAGCCCCCGGGATTAAAGGGACAGTGGCAGCGGATACAGAACTGTCTGGGAGACAGAAAGCACAGAGTGGTGGTGAACAGTTGTTTTTCTGACTGGAGGGAAGTGAGCAGTGGTGTCCCCCAGGGGGTCAGTATTGGGGCCACTGCTGTTTGTGATCTATATAAATGACCTGGACTTGGGTATAGGAGGACAATCTCCAAGTTTGCAGATGATACTGAGCTGGAAAAGCAGTAAACAGTGAGGAGGACAGTAACAGACTGTAAATGGCCATAGACAGACTGGTGACATGGGCCGACACGGGGCAGAGGAGGTTTAATGTGGAGAGATGCAAAGTGATCCATTTTGGGAGGAAGAGTGAGGAGAGGAATATAAGCTGATGGGACAATCTTAAAGGGGTGAAGGGACAGAGAGACCTGGGGGTCATATAGTAAATCTCTGAAGGTGGCCGGACAGGAGATACAGCTGTTAAAAAAGCATCCGGACACGAGGCTTTATAATAGGGCATAGAGTACACAAGTCAGGAAGTCATGATGAACCTTTATATAAAACACTGGTGAGGCCTCAGCTCGAGACTGGGTTCAGTTCTGGGCCCCACACGTTAGGAAGGATGTGAAGGCATTGGAGAAGGTGCAAAGGAGATTGACCAGGATGGCACCAGGAATGAGGGACTTCAGTTATCAGGAGAGGTGAGAGAAGCGAAGATTGTTCTCCTTGGAGCAGAGAAGGTTAAGAGGAGACTTGATAGAAGTTTTCAAAATGATGAGGGGATTCGATTGGGGTGAACGAGGAGAAACTATCTCCACTGGCGGGTGGGCCGATGATACCAATTTAAAATAATTGTTAAAAGAAACGGGAGGTGAAGAGAAATGTTTTCACACAGTTCATATCTGGAATGCATTGCCTGAAAGGATGGTGGAAGCCAATTCGATAACAACTTTTAAGAGAAGTAGATAATTATTTGGGGAGGACAAGGTGGCAGGGCGTTAGGTAGAGAGTGGGGTTGATTTGGAAGCTCTTTTCAAAGAGCCGACACAGACATGATGGGCCAAATGGCCTTCTTCTGTGCTGTATAATTCTATGATTCTATGATTCTATTTACAGATTAGATAGCTTTCTTTGAGGAAATAACATTCCAGGATATAGTACATAGGTAGTTTAGAACATATGTACTTGCGACCGCCAGCAAGGTGGAAGGCAAACTAGTTGGATCTTGGTCTTTTATCATCTAGCATTTCTTATGTTCTTATTATCACATCCCCCAAATTTCTTCCCTTCATTAACAATGTCCCATTAACCCTCATACGTGCATTCATAACATCCAGGCTTGACTATGCAAGCTCCTTGCTTGTTGGCCTCCCCAACTCCACCCTCCACAGGCTGCATACCATCCAGAACTCAGCAGTCCATGTCCTCTCCCGCACCAGGCTCCTATCACCCCAATCTTTGCCCGACTCCACTGGCTTCCTATCACACAGAGGATACAGTTCAATATCCTGGTCCTCACCTTCAAAGCCATCCATGACCCTGCTTCCCCTATCATTGCAGCCTCCTAACTCCCTACCATCCTACTCGCTCCCTCCTCTCAGTGGGCTCCGGCCTGCTTTACGTCCCCCTCCTCACCCTCCCCATCATTGGCGGGCGGACCTTCCGCCACTCTACCCCCACCCTCCAGAACTCCATCCCACAGGCCATCAGCCTCGCCCCCTCCCTCGCCACCTTCAAGACTCATCTCAAGATCCTCCTCTTCGACCATGCTTTCGATCTCAATGCTTCCCCCCTTGCCCTCCACCCTCCTCGATCCTGACCCTCAGCTCGAGTCCGAAACACTGACTGTCCAGCGCTTTGAGACATCCTCCTGACGTGAAAGATGCTATACACATGTAATTTTGTTATGTTGTCCCACAATTCAACGTACCAGAACTTTGATTAAAAAGATCGTCACTCACAAGACTAAACAATCTGGCGGCCTCATCTCTTACCTATTAAGGTAAAAATCTTACGGACAACTGATGTAGTGAAATTTAACTTTTCCATCATGAAATCAGCTACTAACCCAGCGATGATCATAAACAGCAAACAGCCGAGGTAAGGCAATGCAGATAGAAAGCCATTCTACAGAAACAGGGAAAGAGAGAGAGAACATGTGAGATTTTACTCATGAACATGAGAACCACTAGGGCTAAAAGTCTTGTGGGGAGGTAAGCGGGATCTTCTCTGAGCTGAACTGGCTCCGAGGTGACGTGTTTGGTAACGGATTATCAGAATCGAGCCAGCCCTCTGTCACGGTCTCTAGACCGGTTCCCGAGCCAGGTGGGTCCACAGTATTCCAGGGCACTGCTGATGACAGCCCAGCCTGGCTCATCAGCAAGACCTGGAAGAGCAGAACAGTCACTGGGGGCAGGGAATCCTTTCACTTGGTTCCTGTAAAATCTGAAGCCAAAACCCTAATGGGGAGGGTGGTCCTAGCTGGACAAACAACTGGAAAGCAGCAGGAAAGCTTTCCAGGCAGTGATATTAATGGCAAACTATATAGGTTTAGCTGGTTAGACTCCAGCGGTTACCCCAATGCACACTCTGGGGTCCCCTAGTCTTGGCTCTTGCCAACCTCTACATTTTACTCTCCGGAATTTGGATGCATTCCTCCGAGGAGAGAGTGTGCATTTCAATCCTGACACAGGAAATTTTCATGTATACTTAATAATAATCATCGATTTGATAAAGGGCCTTATCAAATTAGAAATACATCTCAAAGCACTTCAAGGAATTTACTGTAAGGTATAGTGATTGTATTTTACCATAGGGAAATGCAGCAGCCAATATGTGCACAGCAATGTCTCACAAACGGCCATGATAATAATAATAATAATAATAATTTGGATGCTATAATAAATTGGTCACTCATGATGTGAGTGACCAATTTAACCTTGGGGATTGTTGGCCAGGACACAGGGAGAAACTCTGTTCTCGTTTCTCAATAGTGCCATGGGATCTTTAACATCCACCTGAACTTGTAGGCAGGAGGTACTGTTCTTTGAACAGTACCTCCGACATTGCAGCACTCCCTCTGCACAGCACTGAATGCAACCCTAGACTGAGCTCAATGTCCCGCCGTAGGACAACAGTAATAGTGCTACCGAATGAGTCAGGCTGCCACCTGCCATATGTGTGTGAAACTTTGGTACGAATGCTTATTAGCACGCTGATGGATTTGCATGTGTATCAGAGCACCTAGCTGACCAACAGAAAATCTGGGCAAAAAGGCTCTTTTGATACCTCAGCTGCACCTATAGTGATTACATAAGATACTAAATAGAATTAATAATAACAGCGCCTCATCACATTTTGGAGGTGTCTCAAAGCGCTTCACAGAAAATACTGTAAAGTGATTTGACTGTAAATTTTGTGAGCGATACGCGGCAGCCAATTGCGCACAGCAGTGACCTATAAACAGTCATGGATTGAGTGACCAAATTATTTATTTTTTTAGAAGCGATTATTACCCCGGAAAGGGATCCGCCCATCAACTAACAACCGGGTTCTTACTTACTGCTCGGTAAACAGAGGCGTGTGGAGTAAGGAAACTTGCCTAAGGTTTCGCCCTGACCGAGAATCAAATCCAGGTCTTGTCACTTGCGAGGCGAGTGCTCTAACCACTGAGCTACAGGACTCCACAATTGAGAAAGTAAGTTGATGCTCAGGGGTGAGCAATTTGAGAGAATAGGATAAATTACACCTCATCCGTGCCTCAAGACCTATTAGATTGAAGCTACTTGGGACGCTGGTCACTTCACTAGTAGCTACTCAGAATTTAGCAGCAGATGGCCTTATTGAATGTCTCATCACATTGACGAGTGTGCCCTTGTTTAAGCTGTACTTTATCAGTACAGTGTATTGCAGTCACCATGCTATACTTGTTGTAAAGGGTTCAGAACAAAAGAAGGATTTTAGGACTTAAATGTAGAGAGGATACAATGCTGATCCCGGTGAAGAGCACTATATACAATGGAAGACGGACACATCGGGGCTGGGCGTTTTGTCCGGCTTAAGCAGTGTCCGACGTTAACTGAAGCTCTGTTACCTCTTCCCTTCCCGCCCAGCAGAGGAGCATCAGCTCCGCCTTCTCACTCCCATTGCTATTCCCATTGGATGGGAAGGGGACCAATTAATGGCAGCTCTAAGGTAATTGAACAACAACAACAAAATTACATTTATAGAGCGCCTTTCACGTCGTGAGGACGTCCCAAGGCGCTGGACCGTCAGGGGTCAGGACCTGAGCATGGGGTGGGGTAGGGGTGAGGGAAGGCAGTGAGGTGGGAGGGCGACTGAAGGCACGATCGAAGAGGAGGGTCTTGAGAACGGCCTTGCAGGAGGCAAGGGAGGAAGCGAAGCGAGGGACTGTGGGATGAAGTTCCAGAGTGTGGGGGCAGAGAGGCTGAAAGCCCAGCCATCGATGGTCTTGACAGGTCACAGGCTGGAGCCCTTTTTGAATGGATGGAAAGCAGTGACGATTCCCATCCTCATTCTCCCTCTCGTTCTACCCCGTTCCTCCAACCCTCACTGATTGACAGCCCGGAGCTGCTTGTGAATGGACAGAGTCTGATGGAGCCCCTGGTGGTTGGTGAGTTGAGGAGCAGTGACCACCTGCATGGTATTTTGAACAAATTATGCGCCATATTTGAAGTAGGTAAGAATACAAATAATTCGGGATCGGGCGTTTTGTCCAATTTACCCAACGCCAGGGTTAACCTGCGTCCGGCTTAACACCACCAACAAATTACATGTGTACAGTGCCTTTCACGTCGGGAGGATATCAAAAGTTGCTGGACAGTCAGGGATTTGGCCCCAGGTGGGGGTTAGGGATCAGGAGGGGTGGAGATAGAGAGGGTGGGGCAGGGAGGGAAGAAAGGTGACCAAAGGCGCAGTCAAAGAGGAGGGTATTGAGAGGGAGCAAGGTAAAGGGACTTGGGTGGTGGACATGGAGCAGGCCAAAGCCCACAGAGCAGAGGGAGTGGATGGGTTGTTATGCTGTTTGCAGGTCACAGAGTAAGGGAGGAGCAAGGCCATGGAGCACTTTGAAGGGGCTTAAGTGGCTTCCACTGTAATTGCAAGTTGTTGTTTTTTTGCAAAGCCAAAGCCACATGAGATGGAGAAATCAAATCCAGATAAATACACGGACAGAGGGGACACACACACACACACCCCTGACATCTGGCTGTTTCTCAAACCACAATGGGGCTGGTTGTAATTAGTTTGGAGATAGGGCTTTCTACTCCAGTCTTACCTCTTTAATGTCAAATTGTAGAATTTCGGTCATGTATGTTGGCAGTAGTGTCAGTAATGTGTATGTAGTCCAATTGTCGCAAAAATGGGCCACAACTATAGCCCAAACTGGCAGAGATTTCCATATGGCTGCCCATGGCACAATATTCTTTGAAGAAAGCTGTGAACAAAGAAAAAAAGCAATAACAACACCAATAATAACAACAAATTGCATTTGCACAGCACCTTTCACTTCGGGAGGATGTCCCAAGGCGCTGGACAATGAAGGATTTGCACCTGAGCTGCAGGTTGGGATCAGAGAGGGTCAAAAAGGAAGGTCTTGAGACAAGCCTTGAAGGAGGCAATGGAGAAGGCCATGCAGAGGAGTTCTGGAATGGAGTTCCAGAGGGTGGGAACAGAAAGGCTGAAGGCCTGTAAGTTGACCTCATGTTTGCGGATGATGGCACCAAGAGGGAGTCCTGTAGCTCAGTGGTTAGAGCACTCGCTTTGCAAGTGAGAGACCTGAGTTCAATTCCAGGCAGAGGGCGAAACCTCGGGCAAGTTTCCTTACTCCACACAGAGCCTAATAATAATCCCTCCAAAACAAAAACAACAATAAATTGGTCATTTTCAATCTACGACTGTTTGTGGGACATTGCTGTGCGCAATTGGCTGCCGCGTTCTCCCACAAATATACAGTCAATTCACTTCAAAGTGTGTTCTGTGAAAAGCGCTATATCAAATGCAAGGATTATTATTATTATAGATATTGAAGAGGAGGGGACCAAGGACAGAGCCCTGAGGAACTCTGCATGAGACATTGTGGGAGCTGGACAAGAAAGTGCAGGGGTGTGAATTAAGAGTACAGAACTCCAGTGGGGAGCGAGCACCAGCACAGACACGATGAGCTGAATGGTCACATGTTTTGGATTAAACGAGGTGGATTAAAGAGAAGTATTGAAATTACCTGTGGTAGTAAGTACAATATACAGAGAAAGTTATAATTTGCATTTTTTTATGCATAACAGTTCAGTATGCAGCTAAGATGCAGATAAAAAGTTTGAGAAGCTGAAGGCACATGTCCTCCAGATGAGGAAACTCTGAGGCTTGAGGCGACACCTAGAGTCCGAGCTCGTGAACATTCGTTCATACATCCAGCGCCTGAAATCTACCTTGATTGGCTACAGAGAGGTAAGTAGCTGCTGTTTCAACTCCACACCTCCAACTGGTGGAACCATCACTCAACGGGAAGGGACTTGTGCCTGAGATGCGGACAGGAAGATGGTGCCAATGTTCTCACACATTTCATGCTGGGCTGTGTTGCCCAATGGGAAGCTCACAGGGAGTTCCTGGTACCTACCATCCACCTAGTGAGGCTCAAACCCACGCTTGTTGGATGTCAAATGACCAAATGATAACTACTGATAGGCAGGGCCTCCTTGGTGCTGAGCTGGCTCCAGAGTGACATGTTTGGTAACAGAATATCAAACTTGAGTTCACCCTCTGAGAACTGTCAGAGAGTTAGGGTGGTCTTAGCCAGACAAGCAGCGAGAAAGCTTGCCAGACAATGATATCAATGGTGGTTTTAGTCGGCTAAACTCCCATCCACACTCTGGGGTCCCTAGGCCTTAGCTTTCGCCAACCTGTGCCTAATACTCTCCAGAATTAAATAAGCAGGGTGAGTCCCTCCAGGGAGAAAGTGTGCATTCCATTGCAGTCCAGGGAAATTTCCATGTGTTGGTGATTGATATACATATGTGAAACTCTGTCTGGGTTGGGTTGTCTGGGTTTCAGCGCTTTGGGACGTCCTCCCGATGTGAAAGGCTCTCTATAAATATAATTTTGTTGTTATTGAGTTGGATACTCTTAAGCACGGGGATGTATTTTGACATGTGTCAAACCTCTCTGGCTCATCCAAAACCAATTCTCAGCCTGTGTGGGGTTTGGATTGCAGTGCAGATGGACAGACGTTTTACCTGGCCTTCAAGAGAAGAAATAATATAATCTCGCTCGGCATCAGATATGGTTTTGTGTTTTTCTGGTGTGTCACTAACCAGCCAGAACCACAAGATACACCAGGATATTCCTAACACACCTGGGGAAGAAGGGAAATGCCATCAGCAGATGAAGTGTAGGATACCCAATGCATAACAACCTGATTTACACAGACCTTTCATGGAGGAGGAAAGTGTTGAATCAATTCACAAGATTAGTCCCTTCAGGTCATCTGATCTCATACCTCTGGAACACCCACTCTACCTCCCCCCATCACAGCATCAAGCTGCTTTCTAAATGGGTCCCAGTGTCCTGACCACACAACAACAAAAACAAATTGCATTTATATTGTGACTCATTTAGGGAGAACATCCCAAGGTGCAGGACTAACCTCAATGGTAACCTGGTAACAGGCTGCAGTGAGTAACTCCCCTCTAGATAAAGAAAACCGTCCTGGTGTCTATCCTGAAATTGCCCCTTTATGTCTCTAAACCTGTGTTCTCTTGTTCTACTGTCTCAGTGCAGCTGAAAGTATTGATCTGGATTTACTTTTTCTGTCCAATTTAAAACACACCTCTGTAGGGTCAACTCTGAATTGTCTTTTCTCAAGGCTGAAGAGCCTGAACTTGTCTACAGTCATTGCTCACGGTAATGTACTGTCTCTAGTGACTGGGCAGCCCCTTATATCACAGTGACTGTCTGCAGTGTTCAAGCTGTGGCCTGGTCAGATACTGTACTACCTGAGGCTGACGTCTGGGGATCTAATCTCAACTAATCTAGTAATCCAGCCCAGCATCCTGCTTACATCACACTGTCTTGACATGTGAGTGATGTAATACTAATACCCGAGATCTTTCCAGCTTAGCTTCCCCCTTTGGCAAGTTTTATCCCATCCGCAGAGTACTTGCTTTCCTATTCTTGCAATATGCAGTAGCTGCATTTATCTGCATAATTTCGCGAATGCTGAGCGAGCAGAATTGATTGACTAAATGCACAGTCAAAAAGATGAGCAATTTAAGACCAACAGTGTTAAAAGCAAAGAGAAGGAAGCAAAGCAAAGGGAGTTGGGGAGAGAGTTCCAGGGAGTAGCGGCATATAACTGAAGGCACAGTGGCGGCTGGCAGCTGATTTTCTTAGTTATCCAGTAACACCCCCCCAGCTCACCTCAACCCCCTCCCCCCAGCTCACCTCAACCCCCTCCCCCCAGCTCACCTCAACCCCCTCCCCCCAGCTCACCTCACCCCTCCCCCCAGCTCACCTCAACCCCCTCCCCCCAGCTCACCTCAACCCCCTCCCCCCAGCTCACCTCAACCCCCTCCCCCCAGCTCACCTCAACCCCCTCCCCCCAGCTCACCTCAACCCCCTCCCCCCACCTCACCTCAACCCCTCCCCCCACCTCACCTCAACCCCCTCCCCCCAGCTCACCTCAACCCCCTCCCCCCAGCTCACCTCAACCCCCTCCCCCCAGCTCACCTCAACCCCCTCCCCCAGCTCACCTCAACCCCCTCCCCCCAGCTCACCTCAACCCCCTCCCCCCAGCTCACCTCAACCCCCTCCCCCCAGCTCACCTCAACCCCCTCCCCCCCAGCTCACCTCAACCCCCTCCCCCCACCTCACCTCAACCCCCTTCCCCCCACCTCACCTCAACCCCCTCCCCCCACCTCACCTCAACCCCCTCCCCCCAGCTCACCTCAACCCCCTCCCCCCAGCTCACCTCAACCCCCTCCCCCCGAGCTCAGCTCAACCCCCTCAGCTCACCTCAACCCCCTCCCCCCAGCTCACCTCAACCCCCTCCCCCCCACCTCACCTCAACCCCCTCCCCCCACCTCACCTCAACCCCTCCCCCCAGCTCACCTCAACCCCCTCCCCCGAGCTCACCTCAACCCCCTCAGCTCACCTCAACCCCCTCCCCCGAGCTCACCTCAACCCCCTCAGCTCACCTCAACCCCCTCCCCCCCAGCTCACCCTCCCAACTCACTAGTTTCTTCCTTTTCACCTTTCAACGCCCTCTAATGTTTTTTATTTTGAGACGGGTATTTTTTATGTTAGATTCCAAGAAATCTTTTCTGTTGATTATTCCCCCAGTTGTCACTGAGGAGTGGGTGAGAAACCCGCTCCCCTCAGCCACGCATTAACCTCTCACTGACCAGCTGGGACACGCTTTGCTACCTGTCAGCACCTTGTAATTTATCCCACCCCTCACTGAGCTCTACTGGCTCAATTAACTTCAAACTCCTCACCCTCAACAACAGCACATTACATTTACACAGCACCCTTCCAGTTGGAAGTACATTCCAAGGCACTGGACACTTCAGAGATTGCACCTGAGCTGAGGATGGGAATCAAGATGGGAGGGGGAGGAGGGTAGTAGAATGCACAGTCAAAGAGAAGGTCTGAGACGGGCCTTGAATCAGGCAAGTGCGAGAGCAAGATGGGTGGGCTCTGGGATGGAGTTACAGAGAGTGGGGGCAGAAAAGCTGAAGACTCGACTGCCAAAGGTGGATCAGGCATGGTGGGGGGCATGGAGCAGGGCAGTGCCCACCGAGTGGAGGGACTGGTAGGTTGGCATGGCATGATAATAGGTCGCAGAAGTAAGGATGAGCAAGACCTCACCAACAAATCCCTTTCATCTCAGCACCTACCTACCTCCCAACTACTCATACCCCACTCACTTCTTTGTCCCCCTTCACTCAGCAGACACAGCGAGTCCCACCATCCCTCCCCTACCATCGGCAGCCACTACATCCCTAACCCATGAATCTCCTACCTCTATCCCTCTGCCCTGCATCTCTTTAACTATCTTTAAATCCTCCATAGTCAGACCTAATGATCACCTCCCTCCTCTCTCAGTGGAACCTCACCACAGCACATGTTGTTGTTATTAAATTTATCTTTTTGTAAAACATTTTAACTTGAAATGTAGAAACTCAGAATCAAATGATATAAAAATCTGCTTTCACATCAGGAGGACGTCCCAAAGCACTTCACAGGTTTATACTCCACTAATACTCCACTCGCGAGGATGTTCACTTCACACTTACAACACAAAATCTTACCAAATATGTAAAATACGTACGGCCAGGCCAGATAATAACAAATTAATCCTGATAATGGGAGTGAAACTACAGTTCCAAACTGTGCACCTGAAACCAAATTAAAAACAATGAGTTTAAAATAATAAGAATAATCCTTGCATTTGATATAGTGCTTTTCACATCTTTGAGATGTCTCAAAGCGCTTCACAGAATACTACAACAACAACTTGGATTTATATAGGGCCCTCCACGCCGGACGCAGTCTCAGAGCGCTTCACAGTAACGGATCCCGGGGGTGAGCCGGGGGGGGAGCGGGGAGACAGCGACCAAAGGTCGAAAAGAAAGGTCTTCAGCAGAGACCTGAAAATACGAAGAGAGGGAGCGAGGCAAAGGGAGTGACGAAGGGAGTTCCAGAGCCTCGGGGCATAGTGGCTGAAGGCACAGCCGACGAGGGTGGAGCGGAGGAACGAAGGCAACGGGTACTGTTGTGAGGAGAGAGGAGGTCAGAGGGGTCGGGGGGGCAGAGGAGTGGAGGGACTTGAATACAAAGGTGAGGATCTTGAAGTAGATCCTCTCTGGGACAGGAGCCGGTGCAGTCTGACCAGGACTGGGGGGATCGGGGAGAGGGGTTTGGGTGTGGGGGGAGGGCCAGGACTCGGGGGATCGGGGAGATCGGGGAGTGGGGTGTGGGTGTGGGGGGAGGGCCAGGACTGGGGGATCGGGGAGAGTGGTTTGGGTGTGGGGGAGGGCCAGGACTGGGGGATCGGGAGTGGGGTTGGGTGGGGGGAGGGCCAGGACTGGGGGGATCGGGAGAGGGGTTTGGGTGTGGGGGGAGGGCCAGGACTGGGGGATCGGGGAGAGGGGTTTGGTGTGGGTGAGAATGCGGGCGGCAGAGGTTTGAATGATCTGGATTTGATGGATGGCAGTGGAGGGGAGGCCGGTGAGGAGGGCGTTAGAGTAGTGCAGCCGAGAGGTGACAAAGGCCTGGACCAGGGTTTCAGTGGCTTTTGGGGAGAGGTATTGGCGGAGACGGACGATGTGTTGGATGTGGAAGAAGGCGGTGCTGGTGAGGGACCGGATGTGGGGGAGAAAGGATAATTGGGGGTCGAACCTGATGCCTGGGTTGCGTATGGGTTCGGAGAGTTTTAGGGGGAGGTCGGGCAGGTGGAGGAGGTGAGAGCCGTGAGATTTCAGACGTTGACAAGAGCCAAAGAGTATGGCTTCCGTCTTGTCAACGTTCAGCTGAAGGAAGTTTGCGCTCATCCAACCCCTGAGGTCTGACAGGCAGAACATTGGGGGACTNGGGGGGGCACAAAGTGAGGTGGAAAAATAGATTTGAGTGTCATCCGCGTACATGTGGAAATGTACCCCATGTCTGCGGATGACATCCCTAAGACGATAGACTGTAAAGTGAATTGACTGTACATTTGTGGGCGAAATCTCACCACCGGATGTAACTCACCCACTCACTCCCCCACTCACATTCAATCACACTGTCACTCACCCACTCACAATGTTCACCAACACAGTCACTCACACCGCCACTAACTCAGTCACTAATACAGTCACCAACCAGCCACCAACACTGTCACTTGCACAGTCACCAACAATTTCACTAACACAGTTACCAACACAGTCACTAATACAGTCACCAACACTGTCATTAACACAGTTGAAACACTGTCACTTACACAGTCACTAACACAGTCACTAAAACTGTCGCTAACACAGTCACCAACACTGTCACCAACACAGTCACTAATACTGTCACCAACACAGTCACTTAGACAATCACTAACACAGTCACCAACACAGTCACCAACACAGTTGAAACACTGTTACTAACACAGTCACTTACACAGTCACCAACACTGTCACTAACACAATCACTAATACAGTCACCAACAGTGTCACTTACACAGTCACTAACACAGTCACTAAAACTGTCGCTAACACAGTCACCAACACAATCACCAACACAGTCACTGATACAATCACCAACGCAGTCACCAACACAGTCACCAAAACAGTCACTGGCACAGTCACTAATACAGTCACCAACACTGTTACGAACACAGTGGAAATACTGTCACGAACACAGTCTCTAACACAGTCGAAACACTGTCACTTACACAGTCACTAACACAGTCACTAAAACTGTCGCTAACACAGTCACCGGCACAGTCACTAATACAGTCACCAACACTGTCACTAACACAGTGGAAATACTGTCACGAACACAGTCACTAACACAGTCATTAACATCGTCACCAACAGTGTCACAAAAAGTATCACCAACATTGTCGCTTGCACAGTCACTTACATAGTCACTAACACCGGCACTAAAACAGTCACTAACACTGCTACTAACACTCTCACTTACACAGTCACCAACACAGTCATCAACATAGTCACTAACAGTGTCACCAACACAGTCACCAACACAGTCACCAACACTGAGGGAGCCCTGGTCACACATGGTCAGGATGTCGTTTGTGACCTTGTCCAGAGCAGTTTCTGTGCAGTGGGCAGCACGGAAACCCGATTGGAGGGGTTCATGGAGGGAGTGAGAGGAGAGGAAAGAGTGAAGCTGGGAGGCGACGGCTCTCTCAAGGACCTTGGATAGGAAGGGGAGATTTGAGATGGGTTGGTAGGTAGATAGCTGTGATGGGTCGAGGGAAGGTTTCTTCAAGGTGGGGGTGATAGTGGAGTCCTGTAGCTTAGTGGTTAGAGCACTCGCTTTGCAAGCGAGAGACCTTAGTTCAATCCCCGGGGGGTCAGGGCCAAACCTTGGGCAAGTTTCCTTACTCCACACAGAGCCTAATAATAATCCTCCAAAACAAAACAATAATAAATTGGTCATTTTCAATCCACGACTGTTTGTGGGACATTGCTGTGCGCAATTGGCTGCGGCGTTCGCCCACAAATATACAGTTAATACACCTTTACAGTGTGTTCCGTGAAGCACTTTGGGACGTTCTCCCGACGTGAAAAGCGCTATATCAAATGCAAGGATTATTATTATTATTATTAGTGACTGTTTTGAGCGGAGAAGGAACAGTGCCAGATGACAGGGAGAGGTTAGTGATGTCCACGAGTAATGGGGCAAGGAGGTGGAGCTGAGATTTAAGGAGAGGGGTAGGGATGGGGTCGAGGGAGCAGGTGGTGGGCTTCATGGAGGTTACCGTATTGAAGACAGAGGAGGGGGTGACAGCTTCGAAGGAGGGATGGATAATTGTCAGATGGGTGATTGTGTGGGGTCGGTGTAGAGAGGGGGTGGAAGTTTGGAGGGCAGTGACTGCTGAGCGGATTCCCTCGATTTTGGACTCGAGGAAATCCATCATTTTCTCGCAGTGAGATTCAGAGGAAAGTATCTGCGAGGTGTGCCGGGGAGGGCGGAGGAGCTGTTGATGGTGGAGAACAGGAACCTGGGGTTGCCCTTCGCCTCCAGAATTAACCTGGTATAGGATGATTTGGCTGAGGCGAGAGCGGAGTGGAAGTTCTTGATGAGGTCCAGCCAGATGTGCCGGTGGACCGTTAGACCGGACTTGAGCCAAGGGCGTTTGGCAGCCCGCACCTGGCCCTTGAGCGAGCAGATGTGCTGGTGAACCAGGGTGAGGATCGGGAATAGGAGGCAGTTCGGGAGGTGAGGGGGGCAAGGATGTTGAGTGTGTTGGAGAGGGCGCTGTGGAGGAGAGTAAGCGCAGCAAGTGGGTTGGTGGGAGAGGTGGGCCAGAGGGAGAGGAGATCAGAGGACTCCAGGGCAGTGGAGAGGGATTGTGGGGTGATCTTCTTCCATGGGTAGTAGAAGATGGTGGTAGGTTTCGAGGCAGTGGGGAGATGGATATGGGAGTTGAGGGAGATGCAATGGTGATCAGAGATGGCCTTGTCAGTGATGGTGACATCCGAGCCTCTGAGGCCCCAGGTGATCACCAGGTCGAGCAGGTGATCGTGGGTGTGGGTAGCAGAGTGGATGTGGAGGGAGAGGTTGAGAGAGGAGAGGTGAGAGGAGAAGTCTGAGGAGGTGGAGCAGAACCCCGGCCCAGTCCCTGCCTCTGGCTAACACCAGCCCCGATACCCGGGAGACCAGCCCTGTGACTCCCCGCCGCTGCCTGACACCTTCCGTGAGTCCCGCTCGGTTTACCCGGGTTTTTGAGGTCCTGTCATTGACACAAGTCACTGACACAGTCACACACTCACTGACACTGTCACTCCCTCACTCACACACTTTCACTCACACTGTCACACTGGTAAAATACCCCGTCTCACACACACACACTGGTCAATGGTTGTAATAAACATGTTAATAACAATCATTTCATTTTAAATGTTCTGGTGCTGAGATTAGACAATATTAATAATATTGCATTTGGTGCAGCGCCTTTCACATCAAGTGGACATGTGGAGTCCTGTAGCTCAGTGGTTAGAGCACTCACCTTGCAAGCAAAACGCCTGGGTTCAATGTCAGGCAGGTCAGGGAGAGACCTTGGGCAAGTTTCCTTACTCCACACGCTTAATAATAATCCCTCAAAAACAAAACAATAATAATTTGATCACTTCAATCCACGACTGTTTGTGGGACGCTGCTGTGTGCAATTGGCTGCCGCGTTTCACCCATAAATATAGTCAATTCACTTTACAGTCTATTCTGTGAAGCGCTTTGAGACGTCTGGAAGACGTGAAAAGCGCTATATCAAATGCAAGGATTATTATTGTATCAAAGTGCTTCACAAGATTCACTGTAAAGTGCGGTGACTGTGTTTTGTGAAGCAAATTTTCTTTCAGAACAAATTTTCCAAAATAATTGGCTTAGAAACAATATTCCTGACACTTGGACAAAACTTACAATGTATATTTTGGGCTGTTTGTGGCTGCCACATTTGCCCGCAAAATTCATAATCACAACGCTTGACAGTAAATAATGGTAATAATAATCCTCGCATTTGATATAGCGCTTTTCACATCGGGAGGACGTCCCAAAGCGCTTCACAGAACACACTGTAAAGTGAATTGACTGTATATTTGTGGGCGAACGTGTCAGCCAATTGCGCACAGCAATGTCCCACAAACAGTCGTAGATTGAAAATGACCAATTTATTATTGTCTTTTTTGGAGGGATTATTATTAGGCTCTGTGTGGAGTAAGGAAACTTGCCCGAGGTTTGGCCCTGACCTGCCGGGAATTGAACTCAGGTCTCTCACTTGTAAGGCGAGTGCTCTAACCACTGAGCTACAGGACTCCACGAAATCTTGTGAAGTGCTTTAAGTGCATTTGATATAGTGCGTTTCACATCTTCTCGACGTCTCAAAGCGCTTCACAGAATAGACTGTAAAGTGAATTGAGTTATCAGGAGAGGTTATTATAATAATTCTTGCATTTGACCGCCTTATCACATCTTCGGGATATCTCAAAGCACTTTATAGAACAAACTGCAAAGTGAATTGACTATATTTTGTGGGTGGAACGCAGCAGCCAATTGTGCACAGCAGTGTCCCACAAAAACTTTTGGATTGAGTGACCAAATTATTTAATGAATTTATTTTTTGAAGCGATCATTACCCGTGGAAAGCAATCCCCCAATCGACTAACAACTGGGTTCCTACTTACTGCTAGCTAAACAGAGAACTGTGGAGTAAGGAAACTTGCCTAACGTTTCACCCTGCCTGGGAACCATTCAGATTTTCAAGATCCATTAAAATTTTCAAAACTGAAGTGGATAATAATATAATAATCCTTGCATGTGATATAGCGCTTTTCACGTCTTCTAGATGTCTCAAAGTGCTTCACGGGATATACTGTAAAGTGAATTGACTGTATATTTGTGGGCAAAACCTGGCAGCCAATCGCGCATAACATTGGATAGATAGACTTCATTGGATAGAATTCAGTTATCAGGAGAGGTTAGAGAAGTGAGGATTACTCTCCTTGGGGCAGAGAAGGTTAAGAGGAGATTTAATAGAAGTTTTCAAAATGATGAGGGGATTTGATAGGGTGAACAAGGAGAAACTATTCCCACTGGCGGGTGGGTCGGTAACCCGAGGGCACTGATTTAATATAGTTGTTAAAAGAAACAGAGGGGAGGGGAGGAGAAATGTTTTCACAGCGAGTTGTTGGGATCTGGAATCGTTGCCTGAGAGCCCGGTGGGAGCCGATTCAATAACAGCTTTTAAGAGAGAAGTGGATAATTATTTGGGGAGAACAAGTTTGCAGGGCCATGGGGAGAGAGCGGGGGAGTGGGGTTGATCAGGGCCATGGGGAGAGAGTGGGGGAGTGGGGTTGATCAGGGCTATGGGGAGAGAGAAGGGGACTGGGATTCAATTGGTTAGCTCTTTCAAAGAGCCGGCACAGACATGATGGGCCGAATGGCCTCCTTCTGTGCTGTATAATACTATGATTCTATAATATTTATTAGGTCAGGCTATCAAGGGATATAGGGCAAAGGCAGGTAAATTAGAGTTGAGGTACAGATCAGCCATGATCTTACAGAATGGCAGAACAGGCGTGAGGGGCTGAATGGCCTATTCCTGTTTCTACGTTACTATGAATTGAACCCAGGTTCTAACCACTACGCTACAGGACTCCACATTGTATTATTACAATAACCCATGAAAATATAAATATTTTGATCTCACTGTGCAGTGGGCGGGCAGGTAAAAGCCACTTCTCTACACACACTGACGTCAGGCATGCAGTCTCTCTGACACTGGATACTCACTCACCTGCATAAGATACACTGATCAGTCGGCTGCGTTCCAGCGGAGGGGCCCATTTTGACCAAATGGCATGCATGGCGGGGAAGGTAACTCCCTGGTAAATAACCACAAACACAAGGAAACGTCATTGTGTTAGAGTCAGATGTGTGTCAACCAAGACATTACAACTGCTAACTCTGCCATGGTTAATGCACAGCCTTTCTGACTGTAACCAGTGAAACTTTCCATCTTTCCTCTAAATACACAAACTTTTGTTGACTACAGTTGCTGAAGGAACCAAGATCACAGGGTAGGAATCAATGTTTTATACACAGGGTCGAGCATTCACTAAAAGTTCACAATTCACTAAAAGTTCACGCAGGTTAATAAGGCCATAAAAAAGGCAAACCAGGCATTGGGGTTGATTTCTAGAGGGATAGGGACAGAAATGAAAAGCAGGAAGTTATGGTAACCCTCTACAGAACCTCGGTTAGACCACACTTACAATACAGTGCAGTTCTGGTCCCCACGTTATAGAGGGGACTATAGGCACTGGAGAGAGTGCAAAGGAGATTCCCAACGATGATCCCAGAACTGAGAGGTTATAGCTATCAGGAAAGGCTGAGCGTGCTTGGGCTCTTCTCTCTTGAAAAGTGGAGGGTAAGGGCTGACCTGACAGAGGTCTTTAAAATGATGAAAGGTTTGGATGGGGTAGACATAGGGAAGATGTTTCCACTTGTGGGGGAGACCAAAACCAGGGCCATCAACATCAAATAGTCCCAAATAGATCAAACAGGGAAGTTGGAGGAAACCTCTTCACACACACGGTAGTGGGAATGTGGAACGTGCTGCCACGCGGAGTTGTGGAGGCAAACAGCACAGATGTATTTCAGGGGAAGCCGGAGAGGTACATGAGGGAGAAAGGAGTAGAAGGTGATGTCTGAAGGCTGTTGGGGAAGGGCCGGAGAGGCTCATGTGGAGCTGAAACACCGGCAAAGACCAGTTGGGCCGAATGGCTGATTCTGTGCTGTATACTCTAATGTCGCTCTCTCTTTCTCATTCTCTCTCACTCTTTCTTATTCTCTCTCACACATTCCTTCTCTCCCTCACATCACCCTCTCTCTCCCATTACACCTCTCTCTCTCTATCTAACACGTTCCCTCTCTCTCTCACACACATTCCCTCTCACCCTCTCTTCACATTCCCTCTCCCTCTCCCTCACATTCCCCTCTCTCTCTCTCACATTCCCTCTCTCTCTCTCTCTCTCACATTCCTCTCTCTCTCTCTCTCTCTCACATTCCCTCTCTCCCTCTCTCTCTCACATTCCCTCTCTCTCTCACATTCCCTCTCTCTCTCTCTCCACATTCCCTCTCTCTCTCTCTCTCTCTCTCACATTCCCTCTCTCCCTCTCACATTCCCTCTCTCTCTCTCTCTCTCTCTCTCCTCTCTCTCTCTCTCTCTCTCTCTCATTCCCTCTCTCCCTCTCTCGTTACCTGGACAAAAACCAGGGCCATCAATATAAAATAGTCACCATAGATCAAACAGGGAAGTTAGAAGACATTTCTTTACACAGAGAGTAGTGGGAATGTGGAACGTGCTGCCACGCGGAGTTGTGGAGGCAAACAGCACAGATGTATTTCAGGGGAAGCCGGAGAGGTACATGAGGGAGAAAGGAGTAGAAGGTGATGTCTGAAGGCTGTTGGGGAAGGGCCGGAGAGGCTCATCTGGAGCATAATCCACGACTGTTTGTGGGACGCTGCTGTGCGCAATTGGCTGCCGCGTTTCGCCCACAAATACACGGTCATTTTACTTTACAGTCTATTCTGTGAAGCGCTTTGAGACGTCGAGAAGACATTAAAAGCGCCATATCAAATGCAAGCATTATTATTATTATAAACACCGACATAGACCAGTTGGGCCGAATGGCCTGTTTCTGTGCTGTATATACTAACGTATTCTAATGTAATGTATTCTAATGTTATTGTCCAGGACACCAGCGCCTCTTTTTTCAAAAAGCACTAGGTGATTTTTAATCCTGGCTTAACAGGCCTATTTACTGTCTTATATGAAGAACAGCAGCTCTGACAACGCAGTGTACTGTGCCACTCAGCAGTCGCTGCCCTCCCAACTTCCAACCCCTCCCTACCCTCACCCCACACAATTAGCATTCCGACAATTACCCATCCCTCGTTCCACACCTTTGAACCTGTCATCCCCTCCTCCATCTTCAACACGGTAACCTCCATGAAGTCCATCACCTAACCCCTCGACCCCATCCCTACCCCTCTCCTTAAATCCCAGCTCCACCTCCTTGCCCCACAACTCGCCGACATCATTAACCTCTCCCTGTCATCTGGCACTGTCCCCCTCAAAACAGCCTTGAAGGAATCTTCCCTCGACCCATCACAAATCTCCCCTTCCTATCCAAGGTCCTTGAGAGAGCCGTCGCCTCCCAGCTTCACTCTTTCCTCTCCTCTCACTCCCTCCATGAACCCCTCCAATCGGGTTTCTGTGCTGCCCACTGCACAGAAACTGCTCTGGTCAAAGTCACAAACGACATCCTGACCATGTGTGACCAGAGCTTCCTCTGCCTCCTCGTCCTCCTCGACCTCTCCGCCGCCTTTGACACCGTGGACCACTCAATCCTCCTCCACCGCCTCTCCTCCCACCTCAACCTTCAAGGTTCTGTCCTTTGACTGGTTCAGGTCCTCCCTTTCACACTGCCTCCACTTCGTCGCGGCAAACGGCTTCTCCTCCACCCCCCGCACTGTTTCGTGCGGTGTTCCTCATGGCTCTGTCCTCGGTCCCCTCCTCTTCACCCTCTACATGCTCCCCCTTGGTGACATCATCCACAGACATGGGGTAAATTTCCACATGTGTGCGGATGATACCTAACTCTATCTCTTTGCCTCCACCCTGAACTCCAGGACTACTGAGGTCCTGATCGACTGTCTGTCTGACGTCAAGTCCTGGACGAGGGCCAACTTTCTGCAACTCAATGTCAGCAAGACCGAGGCCCTCCTGATTGGCTCGCGCCAACGTCTCCGCACCTCAGGCGCTGGCAGCATCAGCCTCCACGGCTGTACACTCAACCTCACTAAGCCAGTCAGGAACCTGGCGGTCTTGTTTGATCCTGAACTGTCCTTTCTCCCCGACATCCGCACCATGACCGGCACTGCCTACTACCACCTCTGCAACATTGTCAAACTCCGCCACTGCCTCACCCCTCAGGCCCCCAAACCCTCACCCACGCACTCGTCACATCAAGGCTTGATTATGGGAACTCCTCCTCATCGGCCTTCCCAACTCTTCCCTTCACAAATTGCAGATCATTCAAATCTCTGCAGCTCGTGTACTCTTACACACCAGACTCTGTGACCCCATCACTCCCACCCTCACCCGACTGCACTGGCTCCCCATCCTCCAGAGGATCGAGTTCAAGATCCTTGTCCTCACTTTCAAGGCCATCCATGGTCTCGCCCCATCCTGATCTCTGAACTGCTGACTCCCTACCAACTTGCCCACTCATTCTGCTCATCAGGCTCTGGTCTGCTCCATGTCTCCCACCCGACCCGCCCTACCATCGGTGGCTGAGCTTTCAGCCGCTCTGCCCCCACATTCTGGAACTCCATCCCACGGTCCCTTTGCCTCGCTTCCTCCCTTGCCTCCTTGAAGGCCAGTCTCAAGACCCTTCTCTTTGACCGTGCCTTTGGTCTACCTCCCACCTCTCTGCTTTCCCTCACCCCTACACCACCCCTCCCCCATGCTCGGGCCCCGAAAGCTGACTGTTCAGCGGTTTGGGACATCCTCCCGACGTGAAAGGCGCTCTACAAATGTAATTTTGTTGTTGTTGTTGTTGTTGCTAGGGAACTGATCTTTCAGCTTGAGTCGTTTCTTTTGCCCAGCTTCCCACCTTTTCTCTAAATACAGCCGGGTGTCTGACACATGTGGAAACCCAATGCTTAAGCGTATCCAAACCAAACTGAGGTTTCCATACATCCCACCTCCACGTGGAAATCCCGAGATAGATTGTTGGAGTGGAATGCGCACTCTCTCTCTGGAGGGATGCATCCTGTTTACCTAATTCCAGAAAGTGTTAAGCGCTGGTTGTCAAGAGCCAAGACTTGGGAACTTGGAATCTAACCAGCTAAAACCACATAGCTTGCCTTTGATATCATTGGCTGGCCAGCTTTTCCAGTGAGGACCACCCACCCGTTAGGGCTTTGGCTTGCAGGGCTAACAGGATCTGAGTGGGAGGATTCCCTGCCCCTAGTGACTAGTCTGCCCTTCCAGATCCTGACGATGAGCCAAGCTGGCTGTGCTATCATCAGCAGTGCCCTGGAATACTGTGGACCCGCCTGCCTCTGGAAACGGACTATCAAGACCATCACAGAGGGCTGGTAAGTCAATTCCAGGCATGTCACCTTGGAGCCAGTTCAGCTATAATAATAATAATCCTTGCATTTGATATAGCGCTTTTCATGTCTTCTTGACATCTCAAAGTGCTTCACAGAATAGATTGTAAAGTGAATTGACCGTATATTTGTGGGCGAAACACGGCAGCCAATTGCGCACAGCAATGTCCCACAAACAGTCGTAGATTGAAAATGACCAATTTATTATTGTTTTTGGTTTTGGAGGATTATTATTAGGCTCTGTGTAGAGTAAGGAAACTTGCCCAAGGTTTTGCCCTCTGCCTAGAATTGAACTCAGGTGTCTCGCTGCAAGCGGAGTGCTACTTAACCATCGAGCTACAGGACTCCAGCTTCAAGGAGACCCCGCTTACCTCCCCAGATACAGAGCATGAAGTTATAACCTAACCCAGAAGCAAGAGTGCTGCCAACTGAGCCAGGCTGACAATAACATTTCATTTCCTCCTCCACATTACAATGATTTCTTCATTTTACAGACCATATATCTTATATCTTCTTTCCTGTAGCAGGGGAAAATGTTCAGTATGTATTTTTACAACTGCGAAATCCGTCATTGATACAGAAACTTGTAGATAAATATGATATTTAGATTTTACAAATACAGTGGAAGCCGAATAAGATGGACATATCAGACCGGCTAATTTGTCCGGCTTAAGCAGCGTCCGATGTTAACCAAAGCTCTGTTACCTCTTCCCTTCCCGCCCAGCAGAGGAGCATCAGCATCGCCTGCTCCCTCCCATTGCTGTTCCCATTGGACAGGAAGGGGACCAATTAACGGCAGCTCTGAGGTTATTGCAGTCACTGCCCCCCTTCCCCTCACTGGTTGCTGCTGACTGACAATCTCCAGACGCTCAAGCGACTCCAGGCTATCAATGAATCGCGATTTGACTTCTTTAATCTCCATTCCCTTCCTAGTTTCTTCCCTGTTCCTCCCATTGATTGTGAATGGATGGAGTCTGATGATAAGAATACCAGAGTCCGGCTAAAGCGGCTTCCACTGTATGACATTTTCTCAAAATGTCAATGAAAATACAAGAAAACACTACGTGAAGAGGTGTACCTCTCCCAGGCCTTCCAAAACCCTCAGCGCAATCAGGTGTTTGTAGCCCAGATCGGCAGACAGCGGAGTGAGTAGTGTGAAGACTGCCGTGCCCATTATTCCAAAACCCAACAACAGCTTCCCTCCAAACCGGAGAGCCAGGTAACCGCCAGGAATCTGAGTAACAATGTAACCATAGAAGAAAGCACCGAGGATCCATCCCTGAGCGTCCGACGTCCAGTTATACACGTGGCCCTGAGCAGAGTAAATGTGCAATATTAGGCTTTTGAAAAGTAACTGGTTTCAAAACTATAATAATCCTTCCGTTTGCGCCTTATCAAATCTTCGAGGAGTCTCAAAGGGCTTTACCAAATATATTGTAAAGCGAATTGACTTTGGCTTTGTAGATGAAACACGGCAGCCAATTGTGCACAGCAGTGTCCCACAAACAGTCGGGGATTGAGTGACCAAATTATTATTATTTATCATTACCACAGAAAAGCAATTTGCCAATCGACTAACAACCGAGTTCCTACTTACTGCTCGGTAAACAGAGGTGTGTGTCGCACCCAGCCCCGACATCTTCCCTCTCCCTCTGCTCCGAATGCCCCCTAATCCTGGATGATTTCAACCTTCACTTCACCCCCTTCTGCTCTACCTCTGCTAACTTCTCCTATCTCCTCTCCTCCCTCAACCCCTATCCTCCAAATACACTCCGCCACTCATGTCCACCCTCTTGACCTGGTGATCACCCGGGGCCTCACCATCTTGGACCTCACCATCAGCAGTAAAGCCATCTCGTATCTTTACTTCATCTCCCTTAACTCCTCAATTCCTCTCTCCACTGCTACCCAACCCACTTTCAACTCCCCTGGAAACAAATCTCCCCACCCAATCCCTCTTCGCTGCCTTGGAGTCATCTGAAATCCTCTCTGGGCTTTCCCCCGCAATGACCCATCCTCAGTCACTCTCATCCACAACTCATTCTTCTCCACAACTCTCTCTCCACCACTCTTGATGCCTTTGCTTCTCGCACTTCGCAAACCATCTCCTCACGAAAGTCACCTTAGTACACCAGCCACCTTTGCTCCCTTAAGGCCGCACCTGGCTCAAATCCAACTTAACGGTCCATCGGCAGATCTGGTTGGACCTTATCAAATCTTACCGCTCCACCCTTGCCTACCCTAAATCATCCTTCCACTCCAAAACAGTCTTGTAGGTCAAGGACAACCCCAGGCTCCTCCATCACCAACCAACTTCTCCACCTACCCTCTCATGCCTCGCCCATCCTTTCCTCCACCTCCAAGGCAATACTGGATTTCCTCGAAACTAAAGTCGAAAGGATCTGCTCAGCTGCCTCTGCCTTTCTGTCTACTACCCCTTCCCCACCTCCCTGTCACACCCTAGCCCCTACCTATCCCTCCCTCCACACCTTCGACCCCCATCTCCCACTCCTCTCTCAACATTACTATAACCCACATGAAATCAATCACCTACGCCCTTGACCCCATCTCTACTCCTCTCTTTACCATCCAGATCCACTTCCTCGCCCCTCTACTCACAAACATCATAAAACTCTCTGTCCACTGGCACCATTCCCACTCCTTTAAAAATGTCCACCATCACCCCATCCTTAAAAACCCTCCTGAACCCATTCCTGCTCTCAAACTATCGCCCCATCTGCAACTTTCCTTTCCAAGGTCCTGGAACGAGTCGTTGCTTCCCAGCTTTTTCCTTCCTCTTCCACCGCTCGCTTCACGAACTCCTCCAATCAGGTTTCCTTGCGCTCACAGCACAGAGACAGCTTTGGTCAAATTGACAAATGTCATTTTTTCCATCTGTGACCAGGGCTCCCTCTGCCTCCTCGTGTTCCTTGACCTCTCTGCTGCCTTTGATACTGTCGACCACTCTATCCTCATCCACCGCCTCTCCTCTCACCTCAACCTTCACGGCTCTGTCCTTGACTGGTTCAGATCGTATCTCTCACCACTTGTACTTCATCTCCACAGTTTTTCCTCTAGCCCCTGCACCGTCTCATGCGGTGTTCCTCGGGGCTCTGTCCTTGGTCCCCTCCTCTTCAATATCTACATATTCCCTACATTATCCGCAGACATGAGGTCAACTTCCACATGTATTTGGATGACACCCAACTCTCCCTCTCTGCTTTCACCCTCGACTCCAGGACCCACTGCTGTCCTGACACAATGTCTGTCAGACGTCAAGTCCTGGATGAGAGTCAACTTTCTTCAGTTGAATGTTAACAAGACCGAGGCTCCTGATTGGCTCCTCACCTTAGGCGCTGACAGCATCACCATCCATGGCCGCTCACTCCACCTTGCTAAGCCAGTCCGTAACCTTGGGGTCTTGTTTGATCCTCAACTATCCTTTCTACCCCATATCCATGCCATGATCCACTCTGTCTTCCCCATCTCTGCAACATCACCCGGCTCCGCCACTGTCTCACACCGCAGCCCCCGAGACCCTCATACACGCCTTCATTATATCCAGGCTTGACTATGCAAACTCCCTGATTGTCGGTCCCCAACTCCTCCCTCCACAAGCTGCAGATCACCAGAACTAACTCTGCAGCCCGTGTCCTCTCCCGCAACAGGCTCCGTCACCCCCATCCTCACCCGACTCCATTGACTTCCCATCACACAGAGGATACAGTTAAAATTCTGGTGTTCACCTTCAAAGCCCTCCACGGCCTTGCTCCCTCCGACCTCTGTGACCTCCTAACCGTCTACTATCCTGCCCACTCCCTCCACTCAGAATCTCCGGCCAGCTTCACGTCCCCCATCTCACCCGTCCCACCATTGGTGGGTGGGCCTTCAGCCACTCTCCCATCCTCCAAAACTCCATTGTGGAATCCTGTAGCTCAGTGGTTAGAGCACTCGCTTTGCAAGTGAGAGACCTGAGTTCAATTCCAGGCAGAGGGCAAAACGTTGGGCAAGTTTCCTTACTCCACACAGAGCCTAATAATAATCCCTCCAAAACCAACAACAATAATAAATTGATCATTTTCAATCTACGACTGTTTGTGGGACATTGCTGTGCGCAATTGGCTGCCGCGTTCGCCCACAAATATACAGTCAATTCACTTTACAGTGTGTTCTGTGAAGCGCTTTGGGACGTCCTCCCGACGTGAAAAGCGCTATATCAAATGCAAGGATTATTATTATTATCATCCTCCTTCCTGCTACCTGCCCTCCACCCTCCCTGATCCCAACCCCCAGCTTGGTTCCAAAACACTGATTGCCCAGCGCCTTGGGATGTCCTCCCGACTTGAAAGGGGCTACACAAATGTAATTTTCTTGTTGTTGCGTGTGGAGTAAGAAAACCTGCCTAACATTTCGTCCTGCCCGGGAATCAAATCCAGGTCCTCTTGCAGACTCCACAGATGGGCATGATACTCATCTCCAAAATCTCTGCTTGGTCTGTCTCTTCTCACCTGTCAGCTTCTCCTCTTCAAACACCTCACTCTCTACCACCTCTCCCACGTCTTCTTCAATATCCTCAACATCATCATCTATCAGCCTCCTTGGCCTTCTGGAAGCTCCACACCCCTAACGCATCCTACTTGATCTGCTCCAGTTTCTGGGATTATGTCTACTAATAAAGATGGTGTATCTGTGTGTCTGGCTGTCTGGTGTATTCGTCAATCATGCAATAACCGATTGACTTAGAGACATGATTCATGCATCATCGGAAAGGTCTTGCATGTGGCAATGTCATGGATATATATCTTTTTTGGGGGGATCTCCTATCGTTGATCTGTTTAAGAAATACTTTAATTAAGCCCCAAAATATGAGGTATACATTGTACTCTGCAACTACTTAGCGACAAAGGAAAGCACACACTGTTCAGAGAGATACATCTATATTCTGCAACATGTGTATGGCACTTTTTTCTGGTTGTCATGGGAGTTAGGTTGGAGGGACAATGTAAGAGACTGAGATAGTGAGAGAGAGAGACGTAGAGAGGGAGACTGAGAACGATAACAAAAATAACTTGGGGTTTATATAGCGCCCTCCACGCCGGACGGCGTCTCAGACCGCTAAGATAGTGAGAGAGACTGAGGGAGAGAGAGAAAGAGAGAGATAGACTGGGAGAGTCAGAGAGAGAGACAGTGCAAGAGAATATATTATAAAATGTAGTGACTGTATGTTTTGTGGGAGAGACAGAGAAAGACAGATAGAAATAGAGACTGAGAGAGAAAGACAGAGAGAGAAAAACTGAGACAGACGAGAGACACTCTGATAGTGAGAGCGACTGAGAGAGAAAGAGAGAGGCTGGGAGAGGGATAGAGAGGGGCAGAGAGACTGAGAGGGACAGAGACTGTGAGAGAACATTTATTAAAGGAGTCCTCCCAGATACCTCCCACAGGAATCCTCTCAGCTGAGTATAGATAAAGATGAAATGTCTGCAGGTGTGTCGGTCTGCATGTGTGTCTGTCTGTCTATAGTTCATACTGGATCCTTTGGTTGCAAGCAAAGCTAGTGAATAATATTAATCCTTTCAAGTCAGGATAATGTCCCAAAGCTCTTCATAGGATTTACTGTAAACTGTAAAGTGTGTTTGTGGCCAAACACCTAAGCCCAATTTGTGCAGCATCCCACAGATACCAAGTGAATGACTAATTTTATTTGAGGATTGCTGACTAGAATCATAGAATCATACAGAACAGAAGGAGGCCATTCGGGATTTCCTCCCAACGTGAAAGGCAGAAGGAGGCCAAAAAAAAACTCCTCACCTCCCCTCTTTTCCTTTTAACAACTATAATAAATCAGTGTCCTTGGGTTACTGACCCAACCGCCAGTGGAAATAGTTTCTCCTTGTTCACGCTATGAAATCCCCTCATAATTTTGAAGACTTCTATTAAGTCTCCTCTTAACTTTCTCTGCTCCAAGGAGAATAAAGGACACTGGGAGAGAGAAACTCCCTTTTCGTTTTGAATGGATTCTTAATATCCACTCGGATAGCCAGATGAGACCCCAGTTTAACATATCAAATTAAAGTGTGTCAGCCTGGCTCTGTGGTAGAACTCTTGTCTCTGAGTTGTGGATTCAAGTTCCATGGGGTGTGCTGCATTGACAAGGCCCTGTCTGCCCACTCGGACGGATGTTAAAGATCACACTATTCGAAAAGAAAAGGGAATTTCATCCGGTGTCCTGGCCAACAATCCCCCAAATAAAATTGGTAGTTTCAAGACTGTTTGTGGGACGTTGCTGTGCACAATTGTACTGCCGCGTTCGCCTACAGTACACACTCACTCCATTTCACAGTAAATCCTGTGATGCACTTTGAGACCTCCTCCCGATGTGATAAGGCACTATATAATATATAGTATATATATATAGGCACTATATAGTACAAATAAGCCAAATGCCCTCCCTCTTGTGCTAAACTTGTATGTTTCTATGCACTTTACACACATTTCCTTACCTTCCTGACATTTAGTGGAGGACTAGAATTTGAATGAGGTGCACATGCCGCGATGCTCCCGTTCTGTTTGGAGGTGACATTGCTGTCTATCATCTCCACCAAGGCCACGCTCAGTGCCACCCGCAAAGTGTACACAACGAAAAAGCCAAAGAAGGCTAAGGCTGCCAAGTGCCATCGCACATAACAGAAGACGGGCGCTAGAATAAATCAAGGTGTTGTTAATTGGTAAATCAACAACAAATTACATTTCTATAGCGCCTTTCATGTCAGGAGGATGTCCCAAAGAGCTGGACAGTCAGGGATCCGCACCTGAGCTGGGGTTTGGGATCAGGAGGGGTGGGGAGAATAGGGGTAGGAAGGTGACGGAAGGCACGGTCGAAGAGGTCTTGAAGGAGGCAAGGGAGGAAGGGGAACAAGGCAGAGGAACTGTGGGATGGAGTTCCAGAGGGTGTGGGCAGAGAAGCTGAAGGCCTGCCTACCAATGTTGGAGTGGGCCGGACGGGATGCAGACAGGTTGGTAGGGGATTAGCAGGTCACTGAGGTAGGGAGGAGTAAGCTGGAGGAATATAGAAATCTTGTGCTACTAAGACATAACTTCTCAAAATGTGAAGTGACAAGGCAAGGATTTAGGTTGAAGTTTGCAAACAGATTACTGTGCCCCCAAATTCTGGAACACTCCTCCTCCATCCCTCCACCTTGCCCCTACCTGCCCCCTCTTCAGATCGTGCCTGAAGACCTTCCTCTTCGACCATGCCTACGGTCACTTTCCCCTCCCCTCGGCTTGGCGTCATGCTTCGCCACTGTCAAGCGCTCTGGGATGTGACACTGTATGTGTAAATGCAAGTCGCTGTTGTTGTTATACAACACCATTGGGACAAAAGGTTAGCACAGACAGTAACATCTCTCCCAGAGAAGTGAGCTGGGAAGCATCTCTCTTAATTAATTTTGTTCCATGTGAAATCCCTGAATACCTAGCCTTTTTCAAACCTACAACATATCTGAGCTACATATTGTGTAAACTCAGGGCATGTTTAGATATTGAGCTCACCTTTCCTATTAAAGCTGTGAGGGCACAGGGTATGGAGGTGCAGAGAAGAGGGCAGATCAAACTATTTCCAAAGGAAATAAGAGGGGCAAAAAGATTATACGAAAAAAGGTTAGCGGGTAACATGAAAGGGAATTCTAAAATATTTTACAAACATATCAAGGAAAAAAGGCAAGTCAAAGGTAGGGTGGGGCCAATTAAGGACTAAGGCGGAAATCTTACTGGGGAGGCAGAGGGCAATGGCTGATGTGCTGGATGAGTTCTTTGCATCTGTCTTCACAAAAGAAATGGAAGCACCAAATGCCGCAGTATCGGAGGAGAGAGTATTGGAAATGGATAGGATAAGTATAAACAGAGAGGAAGTACTGAAAAGGTTGACTGGGCTGAAGGTGATAAGTGGCCCGGTCCGGACGGGATGCAGCCGAGGTTCCTATGGGAGGTACGGGTACAAATAGTGGAGGCTGCGGCTACAATTTTTCAATCTTCGTTGGACACAGGAGTGGTGCCCGAGGACTGGAGAGTGGCCAATATGACTTCCCTGTACAAAAGGGGACAGAAGGACAAACCTGGGAACTACAGACCAGTCAGCCTAACATCAGTAGTGGGGAAACTCCTGGAGACTATAATCCGGGACAGAATACATCTTCACTTAGAAGAATATGGGTTAATTAGGGACAGGCAGCACGGATTTGTTAAAAGAAAATCTTGTCTAACAAATCTAATAGAATTTTTCGATGAGGTAATGGAGAGGGGATAAAGGCAGTGCAGTTCATGTAGTTTATATGGACTGTCAAAAGGCATTTGGCAAACTGCCATATGTAAGACTTGTAAGAAAGATAGAAGCCAATGGTATAAAAGGGACAGTGGCAGCGGATCCAGAACTCACTGGGACACAGAGAGCAGAGAGTTGTGGTGAACGGCTGCTTTTCTGACTGGAGGGAAGTGTACAGTGGTGTCCCCCAGGGATCGGTATTAGGACCACTGCTCTTCTTAATATACATAAATGATCTGGACTTGGGTATAGCAAGTACCATTTCCAAGTTTGCGGATGACACAAGGTTAGGGAGGGGGTAAACAGTGAGAAGGATAGGAGCCGACTGCAGGAAGACATAGACAGATGGTAAGATGGGCGACACGTGGCTGATGAGTTTCAATGTGGAGAAATGCGAAGCAATGCATTTTGGTAAAAAGAGTGAGGGGACACAATATAGGCGGTAATACAATGTTAAGGGGGTGAAGGAATAGAGAGACCTGGGGGGCAGGTAAATGAATCCTTGAAGGTGTCAGGACAGGGAGATACAGCTGTGAAAGGGCATATGGGATACCAGGCTTTATAAATAGGGGCATAGAGTACAAGAGTCAGGACGTTATGATTAACCCATACAAACACTGGTTAGGCCTCAGTTAGAATACTGCCCCAGTTCTGGGCACCGCACTATAGGAAGGATGTTAAGGCATTGGAAAGGGCGCTGATAGAGGAAAAAGATGTTATGGTATGTTTAATTGTATATCGTAGCTTGTGCCCTGGCCTATTGCTGTGTAGACGCCTTTAAGCAGACATAAGTAAGTAGGTTAGACTTGTTATTGTAGAATCCCGTTATCTGAAGGCCACAGTGTAAGGAACAGCGGGTGATAACATAGAAATGGCCTTCTAGCAAAACTGCAAGATTAGTACAGTTGAAACAAGCTGAAGCAAGAAGTGTGGGAACGCATGCAGCAAACCGGATTGGTCTGTAAGGAAAAACACCCCTTCTGTGTATTTTGTGTACTCCTGTATAAAACTTATTGGTACCGAAGAAGAGGATCTTTTGTCTGACGGAGACATTAGATCCTATTTGTATACGGGAACAATTGTGTGCTCCTGTATACAAGTAGAAATAAAAACCCATTCTTTGTTTCTTAAGTTTACTTGTATCAGATTTTTTCTCTCCAGATACAGACACATAATTCGCGGATCTAACAATTGGGGGCTCGTCCGGGATCCCAACATCTCATCGCACCCTACGGTAAACCCGCCAGACCAGTAGTTGTATACGTGAGTTGTCCGGGAGAACCCGCCGCTGGGCGGACCTAGATCGAGAAGGATCGAAAGGCCGTATACAAGAATTATCTGGGATAATTTGCTCGCACACTCTACAGCCTCAAACGGTGAGGATCCCCCTGAGAGAAAGTCGTCCTCGACGTACAAGTGGGGCAAGTGGTGGAGCCGGTCTGGGGGCAAACCGGGAGAGTGGGTGAGTGACGGGACTACCCGAAACAAATATATATATATGCGAATAACGAGTGTCTGATTGAGATAAGTCAAATACAATTAAACATGGGCAATGGAAATAGTAAAGAGGGTTGTTGTACGTGTTGTAAGCGAGTAGAGGAAGTGGAATTGTCTCCTAATGGCCGACGTATGGAGGCCGTAGTTACGGGGAGCGGGAAACCAGAATTCATGTGGAGAAAGAAGTTTGGATTTGATGGTAAATTGAAGCCCGAAAGTACTAAAGAATTATTAGATAAATTAAAAAGCCCTACTCGGATTACCTTGAAAACAATTTTCTGGAACGATTCCACAATGGGATGTTTGGTCGCTCTGCAGCCCGAGGATGAGTTAAATTATAAAAATGAAACTTTTCCCCATGTTTCAGTGGCTAAAGCCGTTGGGGAGGAATGGGAAAATGTGGGAGTATTTGTCGATAAGGGAAGGAGGCTGACTGATTGGAAGGAGACAGGAAAACCAGGTATCTGGTATTCAGAAAAGGGAAAAGTATTCTCCAGATAACTGAATTGGGTGGCTCATTGTATACGGGCAAGATTCATGAGAGGACCCCCTGCGAGACCGTGACTAATCGGGCTCAGTGCAGATTTGGAAAAAGCGTTAAACCAAATCCCAGAATCTTTGTGGTCACAGGGTCCGGCGGATGTTGGGTTAATGCAGGGAGTAGAGCCCATTAAAATTAACCCTAAAAGCACCTTCAGACCATACCAAAGACAGTATCCCATCTCGCCGGAAGCACATGAAGGAATTAAACCCATTATTGAAGAATTAAAAGAAAAAGGGGTCATTGTTCCGTGTCCAGATACAGACACATAATTCGCGGATCTAACAGCGCAGAGGGGATTTACGAGGATGGTACCAGGAATGAGGGACCGTGATGATGAGGAAAGGCTGGAGAGGTGAGGATTATTCTCATTGGAGCAGAGAAGGTTATGAGGATCTAATAGAGGTCTTCAAAATCATGAGGGGATTTGATGGGTTAGAAAGGGAAAAACTGTTCCCACTGGTGGGTGTGTCGGTGACTCGAGGTCACAGATTCAAAATAGTCTCTAAAAGAAGCCGAGGAGAGAAGAAATGTTTTCACGCAGTGAGTTGTTGGAATCTGGAACCCATCGCCTGAAAGGGCGGTCGAGGCCGATTCGATAACCAGTTTTAAAAACGCGGTGGACGGGTATTTGAGGAGGACGGGTTTGCAGGTTATGGGGAAGGAGCTGGGGACTGGGATTGACATTACATTGCTCTATTCAAAGAGCCGCACGGACTCGATGGCTTGAATGGCCTCTTTTTGTGCCATTCAAGCCATCGAATGGCTTGAATGGCACAATTCTATGATTCTATGTTAAGTAGCTTGTCTAAGGTAATCTTCAATATGAACACTTTGCCACATCAGGACTTTATTTCACACTACATGTGTTTAGAAACATACCTACACTTTACACTATATTGTGAGGAGCTTTGAGATGTCTCGAAGATATGTTCAGGTGCTGTGTCAAATGCAAGGATTATTATTATGATATTATTATAAACCTGAAGATCCCATTAGCTTTCCTCATAGCTTTTCCCTGACTGCTTTCTTTCTCTCAGCTTCTGATTTTCATTATTTGTACTGTTTTTCATTGAATAAGGCAAGCTGTTATCTCTTGCTGGTAAGTTCAAAACTGGAAGACTTAAATATAAGTGGTAGGTCCATAGGGCGAGTTCAAGAAAATAAACTCCTGCACAAAGAGTGCAGTGAAATGAAACTCAGAAGCGTCGGAAGCTGTGGTTGAAGCAAATCCCATCAATCTATTTGAGGGAAAACTTGAGGAAGAAGGAAATATAGGGGTAATAGTGAGGTGTAGGAGAGGGGAATAGGGGTGTGTGGGAGAGAGGAATCGAGGGATGTGGGAGATGGTAATAGAGGGGTATAGAAGGGTGAGGGGGAACAGAATAGAGGGGTGCGGGAGAGGGGAATATAGAGGTGCGGGAGGGGAATAGAGGGATGCAGGAGAGGGGAATGGGGCTGTGTGGGAATGGAGAATGGAGCAGTGTGGGAGAGGGGAACAGAGAGGTATGGGAGAGGGGAATGGAGGGGTGTGGGAGAGGGGATTGGAGGGGCATGCAAGAGGGGAATGGGGGGGCGTGCGAGAGGGGAATACAGGGGAGTGGGAGAGCGGAATAGGGTTTGGGGGAGGGAAATAGGGGGTGTGGAAGTGCGGGAATAGGGGGGTGTGCGAGAGGGGAATAGGGGTGTGTGAGAGAGAATAGGGGGGTGTGAGAGAGGGGAATAGGGGGCGTGGGAGAGGGGAATAGAGTGGTATGGAAGAGGGGAATGGGGGTGTGGGAGAGGGGAATAGGGGGGCGTGAGAGAGGGGAATAGGGGGGTGTGAGAGAGGGGAATAGGGAAACGTGAGACAGAGGAATGGGGGGCATGGGAGAGGGGAAAAGTGGGACGTGGGAGAGGGTATAGAGGGATCTCAGAGAGGAGAATTTGGGGCGTGGGAGAGGGGAAGAGCAGGGCGTGGGGGGAAGGGTTGGGGAGTGGGGGGGAGAGGAGTGGCGGGGAGAGGGGTGGGGCAGTGGGGTGGGGGAATGGGGGTGAGAAGTGGGGCAGTGGGGGGAATGGGGGGGAGAGGGGTGGCAGTGGGGGGGAGAGGGGTGGGGCAGTGGGGGGAGAGGGTGCAGAGGGGTGGGGCAGTGGGGGCCGAGGAGGGGCAGTGGGGGCAGAGGAGGGGCAGTGGGGGCAGAGGGGTTGGGCAGTGGGGGGAGAGGGGTGGGCAGTGGGGGGAGAGGGGTGGGCAGTGGGCGGGAGACGGGTGGGGCAGTGGGCAGGAGGGGTGGGGCAGTGGGCGGGAGGGTGGGGCAGTGGGCGGAGGGGTGGGGCATTGGGGGGGAGAGGGGTGGGGCATTGGGGGGAGAGGGGGCAGAGGGTGGGGTGGTGTGGGGGGAGAGGGGTGGGGCGGTGTGGGGGAGAGGGGTGGAGCAGTGGGGGGAGAGTGGGCAGAGGGTGGCGGTAGGGGCAGTGGGGGGAGAGGGGTGGGGCGGTGGGGGGAGAGGAGTGGAGAGGGGTGGGGCAGTGGGGGGAGAGGGGTGGGCAGTGGGGGGCAGTGGGGGCAGTGGGGTGAGAGGGGTGGGCGGTGTGGGGGGAGGGGTGGGGCGGTGTGGGGGAGAGGGTGGGGCGGTGTGGGGGTGAGGGGTGGGCGGTGGGGGAGAGGGGTGGGCGGTGGGGGGAGAGGGGGAGAGGGTGGGGGGGGGGGAGAGGGTGGAAGGGGGTGGGGGTGGGGGGAGAGGGGGAGAGGGGT